TTGGGTCTAGAGAAAAACATACACGAAATATGAATTGTGCTCGGATTCAGGTCACAGTTGAGTCAACTATATATGCAAGGCAGAATTCGATACGTCAAAAAAAACTGTCAACAAACAAGCTGCTCTCTGATTGGTCTGACTGTTAGGTGTTAGGGTGTGGTAGCCAATCAGACACAGTCTTATAAGTAGCCTCGTATTGACTCTCAGATCATGATACCGATGAAATGTACTTCTAGGACCACAAGGACTCCAGGGCTTGACTGGCGAACCAGGCGAGTCGATTGTAGGACCACAGGGTGAGCAAGGATACGAAGGACCCGAAGGACCTCAAGGACGAGAGGGACCAGAGGGACCTAAAGGACCACGTGGTGCTCCTGGACCAGCCGGACCTCAGGGTATCCAAGGTACTAGTAATTAAATACACGGCGCCCTCGCTGTTGTGAAAACGTGACTTTTGTTTTATGCGTCCTCGCAATTAGTAAAGAGTGTATATGTGTACGCATTTGAAACGACAAATTGTAGCTAGCCAGCAATACAAGATTATGTGATTGGTGGGAATGAATATTGCCCCATGCAATGTGTGGGGGTAACAGTGAATATACTCATCTTAAACAAAAATACCTAATTTTATTTTATTTTACAGGAGAACAAGGCGAGAAAGGAGAGCAAGGTAAGCTGGACACGGTCTGACTGTGTGTGATTTGTGTACCTGAGTCGTGCTCCCTAAAACATGCCACAGGTTTTCATTTTCACATTAACCCGGAAGACCCTCACGTTTTATCTGATGACAGGAGAAGTCGTTTGTATCGCCTATTTTCCATCACATCATTATCGGAACATGACCCACTACTTCAAATGTATAACAGACTGCTTCAAATCAATCTCAATATATACTTAGAATAGTAAAAATAGTATCGTCACTACAATTTGGTACAGAACATTCAAATTGCAAAACATAGTTTTTCATCGAAAAGTGTGATAGTTGCGATGGGTGAAATGAACAATGATGATTGATCGGTTCGTTTTTTGATATTCACAAAACATTAATATATAAAAAAATCAAGTTAAATTGTCTTTATGCGTAATGTTTTGACATTGATATGTTTTTTATAACACAGGTGAAGCTGGACAGCCTGGATTACCTGGCCCTGCAGGTCTTAATGCACCGCGCAGTTCCTTGAGATGGGCGGACCAAGAAGCGTCTGGTTACTATGCCTACTGCCCCAAAGGTATGTATAATAGTTCATACTCGAATACGCTAGGTTGTGTGTGTGTGAATCTATAAACTCGTTCTTTAACTAAATGAGTATTTGTTTATCATTCAGGATACGAAGTTTCCGGTTGTAGTTGCGTTGGATGCGATGAGTATAAGATCGTTAACGACAATCTATGCCAATGTCAGTGTAAGCAGACAATTAAAACCACGGCTCGTTGTCTCAAGATGGAGTCGTAAAACGGTCACGTGACTGGCGTCAGTGGTTTGGACATCTTTGCTGATCTATGTCTATTGCACAGTGGTTATTTTCCCCTACACATTTCTAGTTTCTAGCTTCCACCATCACAAAATTGCAATTTTAGTTTTTCCTAGGAATATATAGACTTTTATATCGATCCGTACTCGAATGATGTCATAAATGGAATTATTGAATGCTCAAGTGACAACAAATCAGTATAAATATCAGTATTCTTGACAAATTTAAAATAAAATGAGGCCAAGTTTTATCTGAAATATTTTTGAAATGGAAACCAAGATAGCGTAGATTCTAAATGACATGACGAATCACACTCACTAGCCAATCAGTGATGAGTAGAGAGGGTTTTAGTTTAAACCTTTTTTTTAAATTAGCGGATGTAGGTTTATGAAATAAACGTCTATATATTCTACTACTGTAATACGATGTGCAGTGTAT